ACAAAATTCGATCAAGCCATGTATAGTCAAATTCTCCTTTTTTTTTTTTTTTTTTNTATGTGTTAACATATCATTATTATCTTTGCTTTTATAAGGTGAAATTGTTTTGCTACTTTCTTCCCCAAAGAAAGGCCGAATCTTTCTTCATCTTCTTTCCCTCGTGATGGCTTGTTTTTGAAGCAAGGGCGATTCCAATACAGAAAAGCTGTAGTGAATGAGACCTGAAGGCAAGTGGGTATTAAATTATTTTATTTAAACTTTTAATTAAATTGAAAAAAAGTAGCAGCACTATTTGCCAATTAGTTTTCTATTATATAAATAAATACAATAATGGATTTAAAAATTGAGTCTGTTACAGTGACCGTCACAGGTTACAACCCATTCAAATGATATAATTCGAAATAAATAAATAATAACAAAAGTGAGTCTTAATTTGGAAAGAAGGATACCTTACGTTTCACAGAAGGTATCCACGTGGAGGGTGATGAGTCATGAAGCGCGTGAACAGGAAGAAGGAGGGTAAAATCGGATATAGCAAAGTTTGAGTTCACCCTCTTGGGTGGAATGAAAAGAAACTAACTTAACCGTGGTTAAAGTTTAAACCTCCACTTAACCACTCTGTTTCGCTCTAGTGTTTAATAAGTTCCATACATCTACGTCTATAAAAGAAAGAAACCCAAACCAGAAAGACGGATCATTCTGCCACAAACTGGGGGGAGTGGCGTCTTCATAAACGCTAACCTCTGCGTTCTTCTCTTCCTTATTCTTCTTCCTTCCATTTTCATCTCTGAGAAAATGAGAGAGTGCATTTCCATCCACATTGGCCAGGCTGGCATTCAGGTCGGAAATGCTTGCTGGGAGCTCTATTGCCTCGAGCATGGCATTCAGGTAATCCAACTGCTTTTATTTTGTTCGTAAATTCACGATCCGTTTCGGATATTACCAATCCAACAACACATTATAAATAATTCGTTTTTTTAGTTATTTTGTAATTCGAATTCCTTGTTTATGGACAATTGCGTGTGGGTCCACTTTGAGCTTAACATTTTGCCATGCACGACCAATGGCAATAGCTAAGAAATCATCTCAAATAAAAAAATAAAAAAAATGACATCTACGTGTTCATTGTAGCCAATGTTGAATTTGTTGAGTATGCAATATGCGAAGAAGTTATTGGTTGGAATGGATGGATGTTGAGCGTTGTTGTGTGGTGTGGTGTTTTAGGCTGATGGACAGATGCCGAGCGATAAGACGACAGGTGGAGGTGACGATGCTTTCAACACCTTCTTCAGCGAGACTGGAGCAGGAAAGCACGTGCCTCGTGCAGTTTTTGTAGATCTTGAGCCCACTGTCATTGATGAAGTTAGGACCGGCGCATACCGCCAATTGTTCCATCCTGAGCAGCTTATCAGTGGAAAGGAGGATGCAGCAAACAACTTCGCTCGTGGCCACTACACCAGTACTGTTTCTTTCCCCCTTTTTCGCACATTTCACAAGATATGTTGTGCATTCTCTTCCATTTTGTAATAACTAATAGCATATTCTTTTTCTTACGGTAATCTCTTGAATCAGTTGGGAAAGAGATAGTTGATCTTTGCTTGGACCGCATCAGAAAGCTTGCGGACAACTGCACTGGTCTCCAGGGTTTTCTGGTTTTCAATGCTGTGGGTGGTGGCACTGGTTCTGGTCTTGGTTCCCTTCTCTTGGAACGACTTTCAGTGGATTACGGCAAGAAATCCAAGCTGGGTTTCACTGTCTATCCTTCTCCACAAGTTTCAACCTCTGTTGTTGAGCCTTACAACAGCGTCCTTTCCACTCATTCCCTTTTGGAGCACACCGATGTTGCTGTGCTTCTTGACAATGAAGCCATTTATGATATATGCAGGCGTTCCCTTGACATCGAGAGACCCACATACACTAACCTTAACCGCTTAGTTTCTCAGGTTTGCGTCTATTCAACACATTTCAGTGGAAGTAAAAGTTCTGCTTTATCATTTTATATCATCATGTTCTGAGTTTGATATGATAATATTTTCAGGTAATATCATCACTGACTGCATCTCTGAGATTTGATGGTGCTCTTAATGTGGATGTTACTGAGTTTCAGACTAACCTGGTACCATATCCCAGGATTCACTTCATGCTTTCATCCTATGCTCCCGTGATTTCAGCGGAGAAAGCATACCATGAGCAGCTTTCAGTTGCAGAGATCACAAATAGCGCGTTTGAGCCGTCCTCTATGATGGCCAAGTGCGACCCTCGACACGGCAAGTACATGGCCTGTTGTCTGATGTACAGAGGTGATGTGGTCCCTAAAGATGTTAATGCAGCTGTAGCTACTATCAAGACCAAGCGCACTATCCAATTTGTTGATTGGTGTCCCACTGGGTTCAAGTGCGGCATCAATTATCAGCCTCCAACTGTTGTTCCAGGGGGAGATCTTGCCAAGGTGCAGAGGGCAGTGTGCATGATCTCTAACTCCACCAGTGTTGCTGAGGTTTTCTCACGCATTGATCACAAATTTGACCTTATGTATGCTAAAAGGGCGTTTGTACACTGGTATGTTGGTGAGGGCATGGAAGAGGGTGAGTTCTCCGAGGCTCGTGAAGATCTTGCTGCCCTTGAGAAGGACTATGAGGAGGTCGGTGCAGAGCCTGGGGAAGGCGAAGAAGGAGAGGAAGGGGATGAGTATTGATTACGAAGTTTGTATGTCATTACTTTTTATTTATGGTTGTTTTCGTGATGGTGTTCTTTTATGTACTTTCATTAGCTTTGCTTTCTAAGTGTTTGCATATATGATTGTTTCCATGGGATTGTCCATCTGGTGGACCTTGCTCTGGTCCAGAACAGAACAACTTCAATGATATGATCGTGGCTCTCTTAGGATTGAAAACTTTATGGGTACTAATTACTCTAACACACTATTATGTTTGGATGTCACTCACATGTACTACTAAAATTCTATACACTTATATTTTAATCTACAATTATATTAATCTAAATAAAATATTATATCGAATGGTAATTAATTTTTCATGTTATTATTACAAGATTAATAGTAATTATGGGTTTTTAAAGTCTTTTTAATAATTATGTAATGTTTGAATGTATTAGCTATATTGATTTAGATATAAAGTTGACTAAAACGTTACCCTACTTAATTAATATATGAAAGTTTAAAATAGGCGGGGAAGAAACATTTATTATTTTTCTTATTTCACTAAAAAATTGAGTTTACGGTCAACATTAAATATGGTTTTCAAAGTTCCATTGTCTAATTTTTTACATCAAAGATCAAATTCCTCCCGTTTAGTATTTTCAAATAAACTTTTATTAATTTTTTAATTGTTGAATTTTTATGTTTTTAATTTAATTTCTATAATTTAATTTTTTTAATCGAGTGACGTATATGCTATTTGTTATTTACTTATCTTTTTTAACTGTGACTATTATTTACAATATTATAATTAATGTAAATTTTTTGAGTATTCTATAAAATGCACTAATTTATTGAGAAGTTAAAATTTAATTAAGCCTAGTAGTATTGTTATTTGAATAAAATTTATTTTACTAACACACTTTAAATAGAAAAGACTACAACCATAAATTTAGTTATGAAAACTGAGTTTATAAAAATTTTAATTTAATAGCTTTGACTTCCATATGATGGGGTTCTTTGATAGTGCTACTTAGCTTTGATGAAATTCAGAATAAATGTGTCACTTAAAATTATTACAGTACAAAATGTAAAACGAACCAAATGGTTCTTTTATCTTGGCCAGGGACATGAACTATTTGAGTCCCTTCCTTTGCTAATTCATTCGTGCGATACTTTCCCCTATGATTATTTCAGTTACTATAAAAATTATTTATGCATTACAAGAAATTTAACGAAAATCACTAAATTATATCAATTTTTTACGTATCAAAATCAAATTTTGCAAATCGAAATTAAAAAAAAAATAGAGAATCAACTTAACATTTTTAAACGAAAATATAGACTAAATAAGTAATTAAATTTTTATAATATGAAAATAACCGACCAATTTAGTTTGATTAAATATATCATTATCCAATTCTACCATATTATATACTATATGCTATGCACATACAAATGCAATTCAAACTATGGGTATTATTGATAAATTATTCATATTAAGAATATAATTAATCTCTTTCGATTTTGATTTGTTTTCCAAATTTTAAATAAAACACTTTTTATAGGTCAATGTTTTACCATGACAAAAAAACAAAAGTCAGAGTGAATTTCTTTTTAAAGTTGAATTCTAAAATAGTTTCTGGAGTCAAAACAAACAATTGAAAATACTTACTTTTTATGAAGATGAAAATATAACGTTATTTATAAAAGAGTATTTGAAAATCTATAAAAGCAAATGTATCTTACACAAAATCATGAATAAGAGATATACATATTACATGAAAATTAGTTTTATTCTTATTTGTGTATTATGTATCAATAGTTAAGTTTTAGAAATTAAATGCAGATCTCTAGATCTCTGAAGTTCATCATCAATTATAGATTAATATTAATTAATTTTGGTGAAGATCATCAAATTGTAAACTCATCATCATATTTATCCATCCTTATTTAAACTGCAATATCTATTTTAAACTCATTCAATTACTTCAAATTTTCAAATTTTGTCAAACAAAAGGATTGTCTTAAACTCTATACTCATAAAAAAAATTCTCTTATTCTTATTATTATTTTTTGTACCCTTAAACATTTATATGTTGTCCATCTTCATTTACTTTTAATTTCAAGTGTTAAAATTGAGTCAGTCATGATCCGAATAATTAAAAAAAAAATAGTATTAATAAGAATTCTCGTTCTTTCTCAGGTAGCGAATAGTATATGTGAGACAAAATTCGATCAAGCCATGTATAGTCAAATTCTCCTTTTTTTTTTTTTTTTTTTAACGTGGTTTGGTAAATAAAAAGTAGTCTTCAGTCAGCCCAAGAACTGAGAAAGAAGAGAGAGAGAGAGAGAGAAAAGGCTGTGAAAAGTCACGCGGGTAAGAAGTTGAAGGAAGCTGAAGGATTTCGTCTCCAAATCATATTTACAGCTTCAATCCAGTGAATCCTTGCATTGCCGGTTTAAGGTTATTACTTTTTTATTAGAGCCTATGGAAAAAAGAAAGAAGGACAAGAAACTAGCTTTCGTTTGTAATCAAGAATCTCACACAACTGATGAAACTCAGGTATGGAACTATCCTATCTCTCATTTTTACCAAAGTAATCAATCTTTGCCTTTACAATTTCAGCTTCTTGTGAAGAATGTTTTTTTTTTGTTCGTTTTATTTTTCTTCCTACCTTGTATGGCTTAGTTTCTATGTTGCTGCCGCCACAGAATACCAGAGACTAAAAATGAATGTCAGTCATAGGTAGGGAAAATAATGAATTTTAAAGTAAAGGAATTAAAGATTGATTCTTTATTCACTTGTTTTTTTTTATCTTTGACATAAAAAAAATTGTATTATCTACTTTTCTTCTATCTTGGGTATCTTAGGGTTATCATCTTTTCAATTGGATACCTCGTTTGCGAAGAAATATAACATGTATGTATTTCTATTTTGTGTTGTTTAAATACTCCTGTTGAATTTATTTAGATGAATATGATTATTAACAGACCAAGCGACATAATGCACAACCAAATGTGAATGTTGTTCCGAGTGACAAAATTAGTAGTTCCTCAGCTTCACTTGAGAACACACCTAACTCAAATCAGCAACAACAAGCTTCAATTGTTCAACGGCCCTACACTCCTCAAAGTGCCATACAACAGTTCTTGGCAATGCACTTCCCCACCCAAGCATCAGCAGCTGGTGCCTTAAATCAATGGCAGCAGTATCCACACCTATTTGCCCAGTCAGCGTCACCCTTTTGGCAATCTCATCCACCCTCCGCCGTGGCTGGCCCATTACTTGGAGCAAATGTCCCTACCATCTATCACCCATTCACTGATTCTGGCTTTCCTGCAGCACCTTCCTCTACAACACAGACACCACCTCCTAGTATGTGTTACAATTACCCATTTCCTGTCTTTCCATGTAAGTATGCAACTCTTACTCTTCACATGGCATGCAGTACTTTATACGACAGTTATTTTAGAGTTGAAACTGACACGTATGTAAGTTTCTGAGCATGGTGAATTTTACTAGTTCATAGTACACGGTCTTCTATATCATTGTCATCCAGAAAGCAAGAATATAGCAAACTTAACAGGACCATAATATAATGGCATAAAACAATATAATGAAGAGCATGGGTCGATGTATACATAATACATCTACACATTTCAAATACTATACACTCTAATTTGTATAATTATTGTGGTATTCTCATTTGATTTGGCTTAAAAGTTTAAAATCTATATGGGCAATTATTGAGTTGTTCAACATGGATGAGTCCCGAACATGACCAATGTTTTGCTTTTGAAGTGTGTGCTTCTTTCATTGTCAATGCCAGGAACAGTTTGGGTGTAGTAAACATACTTTAAGCAATAACATAAAGTTTGATACGCTTGTTTACAGGTTATTGGGGTCCATCTTCTTACATGGCTCAGTTGTACCAAATGCAGCATCCTTATGTTCACAATTTTCCTGATGCACTTAACTTTTCTTCGGCAACACCGAAGGTGCCAAATTGCTCAGCTTCTGCAGAGAATTATTCTCAAATAGGAAATAACAAATCACCTTCAGAACTTAATCAGAAGTACCAACAACTCTGGGAAGCTGAGGTGAGTACTTCTCCCCATGTCACACTCAAATTGTGATCATTATGACTTCAAGTGCCTTGAATCTTGCCTACAGACATGAACAACTTTCTTTCTTACAGAAAGCAGAGAATGTCGAGCTGCGGAGGGTGGCACATAAATTGCGAGCTAAAGTTTCTGGTTACAAGGATAAGCTGAAGAAGCTTCAAGTAGAAGTCTCCTCATTCAAACAGAAAGCAGAACTGACCTTTAAACAAGTTATTGGAACAGTGCCTGCAGGAACAACTCAACCTTTGAAGAAGAGAGGGAGGCCTAATCGATCGTTGGCCTCAGCCGATGCATTAAACGAGTCTTACCTCCTGACTGGTGGTAAAAGACCTTCAATGTGTAACTCTTTGTCTCAGAATAAATCACCGTTTGAAAAAGTTAAACCCATCTTTGAAAAAGTCATTCTTAAGAAGGTGGAAAATAAAGAAATAACTAATCGTTTCGCCACTACAATGGCTCAGCAGGAAAACAATGTAAACATCTTAAATACTGTAAAAGATGGGAGCTGCAACACCCAGATAAATCAGACTTACCCAATCAAGTCTGCATGTCAAGGTCATGTTCATCAGGAATCTGAGGGAGTCCTGATATGTGAAAGTCGAGTACATGTTAATTTTGGAAAGGACAAAGACTTGAGACCCTCAGAAGTATTAAACCATGACAAGAGTGCTTCATCTAAAAAATATATTGGAAATACAGGGTTGAATTCTGGCAAACATTTGGAAGACAATGTAAAGGATGTATTAGATGGCATTTTCATCCAACAGGGACAAAACATAACTCCTGGATGGAGTTTGAGGTTGGCAGAAGAGGAGGATGTTTCAGAATATATTGAAGGATCAGCTAAAGATGAAGATGAGGTAACGGGGAATGACACTAGCTCCGCAGCTGAAGAAATTGGTGTAACAAAAAACCTAGGTGGTTGGTTGCCCCATGAGTAAATGCTTTGCAACTAGTCCAAAAGCTATGTTTACCGCAATAGTTGGCAATAGTGTTTTGTGAAGAAATGCCTTACATCTACTGCCTTAACAGTATAATTTTTTGATAATGAAATCACTCCGATCAACTGGGATAATCATCCAGCTGTTATGAACTATAAAGCAGTATGTAGATTTTTGTTAATATTTTGCCTCATCATTCAGGGAATTACAAGTGGTTTGTCCTTAATGAGTCACTTGTTTATATAATTTTGGTAAAAGAAACATTGCAGTTATATTATAATAAAATATATATGAAAAGAAGTTAATACAATATGAAATATCATGTTATTTTATTTAAATAATATAAATGAATAAACATCTTTTTTGTAGTTTTGTGGCTTGCACCTCAAACTTAGAAAATATAAGTAGTTTTTTTCTTAATTTTTAATATTAGTAAATTGAATACAAATAAATAGATCTTCTGTAAAAATAATTGAAATTAGTTAATTTATAAATTATTTTGTAGAAACTCTTTTAATGTACTTTTTTTTTTATAAATCTGCTCTTATTTATTTTAAAATGATTTGATTGTTAAATCTATACACTTAAAGGATTTGCACAGTATCAGAGTGGAGTTGGCTGTAGAATAAGGTTTGATTTTATACAAAATTAAAAGGTAGAAATTGTACTTTATTAGTCCTGGACTAGCGAGCACGGTTATGTAAAATAAAACAAAAATAAAGCTCCAAACTTTTTGTTTATCTATTATTTTTTTCAAATCTATTTCTTTATAAATAAAAATTTTAATTAAGTTCCTCTGTTTTATAAATGCAGTATTTGAAAGTTTAATTTAGTCATTTAATTTTAATCATGTGACAGTTTGACTCAATAATATTATTAGTTGTATAAATTGTCAGTGTGCGTATTATTATAAGCAAATTAAAATTATTATATTTGCTTACTAACGTGTTATGGTTAACTGGTGGTAAATGGTCAAGCTGTTATGTTTTTGACTATTTTGATCAAACATTTTATTAATAATGAGATCAAGTTTATTAATAAAATAATAAACTAGTACACTGAAAAAAAAAAATAACAGTCTGAAATAAATTATCTTCTGTATTTAATAAGACGTGTTTCCATTTTTATTAATAGTATAAAAATATCATAACTTTTTTCTGTATGAATTTTCCAAAAAAAAATATAAAATAAAAATTCTTACCACAATAGAAATATGTTTTTTTTTCTTTATAATTAAAAATAACAGTTTCAATCTTTAAATATAAAGCTAAAATAACGATGGGAAATATTAAACAGCATTAAAAACATAATTATCGGTTACTTCATTGAAAATATAGTTAAATTGCAGTAATTCCAAAAAAAAAAACACAAATTTTTAAATGATCTTATCTACAAGAAACACATTTTTGGTTTATTTTTCGGATATCCATAATTGCAGCGGCTAAATATGGTACTAAAACTTTTTGGTTACATATTTTCTTCAGTGCATTTAAAAATAAAATAATCTTTTGATATAAATTTAATATTTTAATGAGGAATAGCTATTTTTCCTTAAAATTTCTCTGAAAACCTTAATTATTAATGGAACAAAATTAAGACCAACAATATAAAATTATTTCTCATTAAAGTTTATTTTTTTATGATCAACTAAATATTCCTTGTTGGGTTAAAGAAAGCAAACATAATTATATGCTAATTTTTTTAAAAGTAAACTGTCCATTGAAGAAACTGGATATTGATCATTTAGGACGTATTAAAAAAATTATATAATAAATATTTTGACTGAGAATGTTTTCTTTGTATTACAGTACTTTTATGAAATGTAGGCTATATTAATTTTAACAGACGGTCTATTTCTAGAATTCAATTCAAGGTAACCTCATAATTATTTTTCCATCATATTTTTAAGTGAGTAATAAAACATCTCAAATGGTAGTCCAACACCAATCATCACCGCTATTATACTTCAAACTTTGGTTAAAACAGGTTATTTTTCATCAAAGTTAGGTCATGTACCTACAAATTCAAATTTACTTGTTATGTCCACCCACAAAAACCTACAGAAACAGAACATACGTATTTTAAAATTATACAATCTTATAAACTAATCAACAATAAATTACACTACTTTTTGTTATCTGAACAAAATATTTATTTATATTAAAAGTTTATAGAATTCTCAAAAGTTTTTATATATATCATATAATCCGTGATCCGGACTATATGGTAGAATATGGGAGGTGTATAATTTAATTTTGTGACTTTATTGTTGAAACTTATATAGTAGTTAGCAGAAAATGGGAATAGTGGGTCATCAAAAAATGTAATTAAGCCAGACATGTAAATTAATTCCAATACCATCCATTTAAGCGAGATACATGAGTACATTCATATCTTCTCCTATGCACCAATCATAGAGATTCATTCATTATGAAGAGTAGAACAATGATTTATCATTTAATAATAAAAAGTCATGGATGGACTTATATTAAATGGTTTGTAATCCTTTCTAAATAAGAATTCTTACCTTATGATCAAATGTAGGGTTAACTCATAAAAGAAAAATGATATAGATAAATTAATAAGAATACACAGAAAAAAAAAAGAGAAAATATTAAATGGCAATAGAGAATTACACGTGGGTGAGTGGTAACATGGTTACGTTACAGCTCCATACATTCTCAGTCTGAGATGGATAGAGATAGAGTTCCAGTGCATCTCTTTCCTATAAGTTAACAGCAACAACATAAATGTATTTTTATTTTTAATTTTATTTTAAAAAACCTATAAAAGTCAAACAAACTTCCTCTCTGTGTAATGACTTTATGCGGAGTCTTGGAAACAGAAAACAGAGTTGATGACTGGGTAAAAGGAAGTATGTAACAAAATCGGTGATCCCCATTGTGTTTTGATTTCCCAAATTCACGAACACCAATTTTCATAGTGTGAAGAATGGCCACGGTTGAAGAGAAGGAGGAGGATGAGAAAGCGAAGCGGAAACCGCCGAGGCCGAAACGAATATGTTTCTCTTTCGCGGCGTACGCCAGCAGCCTCCTTAACAACCTAAAATCCTCGAACGTTGTAATCGACGAAGGATTGTCGGACCTAGAACTCCGAAACCTAGAATCCAAATTGAAATTCTCGTTCCCACCGGACCTTCGCGCGATCCTCCAACAAGGCCTTCCCATATCACAAGGCTTCCCCAATTGGCGTTCCTCTTCGACACAACAACTCCAAATTCTCCTCAACCTCCCCGCCTCCCTGATTCTCCGTCGCGTCTCCAACACGCGCTTCTGGCACCCCTCGTGGGGTCCGAAGCCGCCCGACCCGACCCAGGCGCTTCGCCGGTTGTTAAATGATGCACCGCGCCTCGTCCCGATTTACCGGCATTGCTACATTCCCTCCTCCCCTGAGGCCGCCGGGAACCCTGTTTTCTACGTGGATGACAGCGGGGATGTCTGTTTGCTCAGCTTCGACTTGTCGGGGTTTTTCCGGGAGCTTCTGGCGCAGGAAATGGACGAGCCAGTGTGGGCTGCGACGGCGGCTAAGAGGGTGAGGTTCTGGTCGGAGCTGGCGGAGGACCGGTGCGGGAGGTGGTGGTGGTGGGGCATCGCTAAGGAGAAGCTCGGGGGATGCTTGGATAGGACGGTGTGGAAATTGAGAGAGGGAGGGTGGACGGAGGAGGAGATACGCGAGATGGTGACGGTGGAAGAGAAGAAGAAGAGAGACGAGTTGAAATTGAATAACAAAGAGGCCATGGCGCGGCACGTGAGAGTCCTATCATTGGTTTTGCTGCGTGCGGGGTGGAGCAGGGAAGATGTTGTGTATTCGCTTGGGGTGGTTGGTGATGAGGAAAAATCCTCCCTCGAATTCCATCAAGAATCGTTAGATCAACGCAACGTCAACATCAACGGCTTCTAACCTTGTCGCTTCTCGTCTCTCATCACTATTAGTCAACCCGTCGCATCCCATTTTTCTTTTTTCGCTTTTTTAATGTTTTTTATATTTAACATATAAGGAGTATAATTAAAAATATATAATACATACAAAAGAAGTTAGATTCCAGAACTATTTTTTGTAAAAAAAATTGAGGGGCGATGAAATTGCGATTGCAAGACCTAGTTTTAATTTGTGAGTTCATGTGGACTCAGTTTTATTTGACCTAAAAATAAGTTAAAGTATTATTGACGGAACTAACTNATACACTTAAAGGATTTGCACAGTATCAGAGTGGAGTTGGCTGTAGAATAAGGTTTGATTTTATACAAAATTAAAAGGTAGAAATTGTACTTTATTAGTCCTGGACTAGCGAGCACGGTTATGTAAAATAAAACAAAAATAAAGCTCCAAACTTTTTGTTTATCTATTATTTTTTTCAAATCTATTTCTTTATAAATAAAAATTTTAATTAAGTTCCTCTGTTTTATAAATGCAGTATTTGAAAGTTTAATTTAGTCATTTAATTTTAATCATGTGACAATATGACTCAATAATATTATTAGTTGTATAAATTGTCAGTGTGCATATTATTATAAGCAAATTAAAATTATAATATTTGCTTACTAACGTGTTATGGTTAACTGGTGGTAAATGGTCAAGCTGTTATGTTTTTGACTATTTTGATCAAACATTTTATTAATAATGAGATCAAGTTTATTAATAAAATAATAAACTAGTACACTGAAAAAAAAAAATAACAGTCTGAAATAAATTATCTTCTGTATTTAATAAGACGTGTTTCCATTTTTATTAATAGTATAAAAATATCATAACTTTTTTCTGTATGAATTTTCCAAAAAAAAATATAAAATAAAAATTCTTACCACAATAGAAATATGTTTTTTTTTCTTTATAATTAAAAATAACAGTTTCAATCTTTAAATATAAAGCTAAAATAACGATGGGAAATATTAAACAGCATTAAAAACATAATTATCGGTTACTTCATTGAAAATATAGTTAAATTGCAGTAATTCCAAAAAAAAAAACACAAATTTTTAAATGATCTTATCTACAAGAAACACATTTTTGGTTTATTTTTCGGATATCCATAATTGCAGCGGCTAAATATGGTACTAAAACTTTTTGGTTACATATTTTCTTCAGTGCATTTAAAAATAAAATAATCTTTTGATATAAATTTAATATTTTAATGAGGAATAGCTATTTTTCCTTAAAATTTCTCTGAAAACCTTAATTATTAATGGAACAAAATTAAGACCAACAATATAAAATTATTTCTCATTAAAGTTTATTTTTTTATGATCAACTAAATATTCCTTGTTGGGTTAAAGAAAGCAAACATAATTATATGCTAATTTTTTTAAAAGTAAACTGTCCATTGAAGAAACTGGATATTGATCATTTAGGACGTATTAAAAAAATTATATAATAAATATTTTGACTGAGAATGTTTTCTTTGTATTACAGTACTTTTATGAAATGTAGGCTATATTAATTTTAACAGACGGTCTATTTCTAGAATTCAATTCAAGGTAACCTCATAATTATTTTTCCATCATATTTTTAAGTGAGTAATAAAACATATCAAATGGTAGTCCAACACCAATCATCACCACTATTATACTGAAGGAAGAAACTAATTCAAACTTTGGTTAAAACAGGTTATTTTTCATCAAAGTTAGGTCATGTACCTACAAATTCAAATTTACTTGTTATGTCCACCCACAAAAACCTACAGAAACAGAACATACGTATTTTAAAATTATACAATCTTATAAACTAATCAACAATAAATTACACTAATTTTTGTTATCTGAACAAAATATTTATTTATATTAAAAGTTTATAGAATTCTCAAAAGTTTTTATATATATCATATAATCCGTGATCCGGACTATATGGTAGAATATGGGAGGTGTATAATTTAATTTTGTGACTTTATTGTTGAAACTTATATAGTAGTTAGCAGAAAATGGGAATAGTGGGTCATCAAAAAATGTAATTAAGCCAGACATGTAAATTAATTCCAATACCATCCATTTAAGCGAGATACATGAGTACATTCATATCTTCTCCTATGCACCAATCATAGAGATTCATTCATTATGAAGAGTAGAACAATGATTTATCATTTAATAATAAAAAGTCATGGATGGACTTATATTAAATGGTTTGTAATCCTTTCTAAATAAGAATTCTTACCTTATGATCAAATGTAGGGTTAACTCATAAAAGAAAAATGATATAGATAAATTAATAAGAATACACAGAAAAAAAAAAGAGAAAATATTAAATGGCAATAGAGAATTACACGTGGGTGAGTGGTAACATGGTTACGTTACAGCTCCATACATTCTCAGTCTGAGATGGATAGAGATAGAGTTCCAGTGCATCTCTTTCCTATAAGTTAACAGCAACAACATAAATGTATTTTTATTTTTAATTTTATTTTAAAAAACCTATAAAAGTCAAACAAACTTACTCTCTGTGTAATGACTTTATGCGGAGTCTTGGAAACAGAAAACAGAGTTGATGACTGGGTAAAAGGAAGTATGTAACAAAATCGGTGATCCCCATTGTGTTTTGATTTCCCAAATTCACGAACACCAATTTTCAAAGTGTGAAGAATGGCCACGGTTGAAGAGAAGGAGGAGGATGAGAAAGCGAAGCGGAAACCGCCGAGGCCGAAACGAATATGTTTCTCTTTCGCGGCGTACGCCAGCAGCCTCCTTAACAACCTAAAATCCTCGAACGTTGTAATCGACGAAGGATTGTCGGACCTAGAACTCCGAAACCTAGAATCCAAATTGAAATTCTCGTTCCCACCGGACCTTCGCGCGATCCTCCAACAAGGCCTTCCCATATCACAAGGCTTCCCCAATTGGCGTTCCTCTTCGACACAACAACTCCAAATTCTCCTCAACCTCCCCGCCTCCCTGATTCTCCGTCGCGTCTCCAACACGCGCTTCTGGCACCCCTCGTGGGGTCCGAAGCCGCCCGACCCGACCCAGGCGCTTCGCCGGTTGTTAAATGATGCACCGCGCCTCGTCCCGATTTACCGGCATTGCTACATTCCCTCCTCCCCTGAGGCCGCCGGGAACCCTGTTTTCTACGTGGATGACAGCGGGGATGTCTGTTTGCTCAGCTTCGACTTGTCGGGGTTTTTCCGGGAGCTTCTGGCGCAGGAAATGGACGAGCCAGTGTGGGCTGCGACGGCGGCTAAGAGGGTGAGGTTCTGGTCGGAGCTGGCGGAGGACCGGTGCGGGAGGTGGTGGTGGTGGGGCATCGCTAAGGAGAAGCTCGGGAGATGCTTGGATAGGACGGTGTGGAAATTGAGAGAGGGAGGGTGGACGGAGGAGGAGATACGCGAGATGGTGACGGTGGAAGAGAAGAAGAAGAGAGACGAGTTGAAATTGAATAACAAAGAGGCCATGGCGCGGCACGTGAGAGTCCTATCATTGGTTTTGCTGCGTGCGGGGTGGAGCAGGGAAGATGTTGTGTATTCGCTTGGGGTGGTTGGTGATGAGGAAAAATCCTCCCTCGAATTCCATCAAGAATCGTTAGATCAACGCAACGTCAACATCAACGGCTTCTAACCTTGTCGCTTCTCGTCTCTCATCACTATTAGTCAACCCGTCGCATCCCATTTTTCTTTTTTCGCTTTTTTAATGTTTTTTTATATTTAACATATTAGGAGTATAATTAAAAATATATAATACATACAAAAGAAGTTAGATTCCAGAACTATTTTTTGTAAAAAAAATTGAGGGGCGATGAAATTGCGATTGCAAGACCTAGTTTTAATTTGTGAGTTCATGTGGACTCAGTTTTATTTGACCTAAAAATAAGTTAAAGTATTATTGACGGAACTAACTAATCCCTGGTTTTGCTGCCATTAAAAAAGGAACGAAATGATGCGAATTTACATGGAGCATGACAACTGAATTGACTCGCCCTATGCGGTAGATGTGCTTCTGTTTCAAGCTTCATTCCTGGACCACAATCACGCAATACATATCTGGTATGCTATTTTCTTGTGAACCCAAAAGCATTACGCATTTCTCAATTCTAGCGGTTTATTTTTTATTCTTTACTTACGTGATCATGAGATTTTTAAATTTTGATAATAATTAATATTATGTAAGTGATTGTCACGGGAGTAGCCGTGTAGAGAAAGGGTTACCGAGTTTAGGAAAATTGGGCACACTGAAAATGGATGGAATTGGGGAAAAAGTCCTCTCTCTACTTGTTTCTAGAAAACAGGGTGATTGCAGTGACACGAAAGAGAGCGTTACGACCTGCCAAAGAAAAATGTTCCGTGGGTTTTTTATGCAAGTGGCAACCCTTTTGGAATTTTTACTCTCCACAATTTGGATCCTTGGAAAATTTAAGCATGGCTACCTCAATGCCCTTCTTCACAACTAGTACAATTTCTACATGCTTCGATTTGTTTCAATCACACGATCAAAGCTCTTACGCAACACTCATTACTTTCTTAAGTTTTATATACTCTAATAATAATTTACGCACTCCTCTACAATTAACAAAATATGTACTTTTCAACAATTTGACGCTATCCAAAGTGGTAGTTAATAATAAACTAAATTATTATTTTTGCGTAATTTAATTATTTTTTTAATGTACACTGCAAAGTTGGTTCTTTGCTTTGGTAGTGTTGACTCGTCTTATGCATCAATTAGTTTCTTTCAACATTGAAAAGAAACACTTAATTTTATTTAATTATCGTCACCCTTATTACATTTCCCGACCCCTCACTCGTCTATTCTGTATTAAATCTTTTATTTATTCATCTCTCTTACTAAATTAAATAAACATTATTTTATCACTTTTATGTATTTAATGAATGCATTTTTTTCCTCATTCTAAACCCATGATCTGCTACACATGGTCGTGCAAGAGATAGTTACTCTTGCCAACAATGCTTCCCCTTCAAATCCATGGTTTTAGTCTTAGACAGTAAATCATCTTCTGGATTTACTCTTCTTTCTTCAAAAATCATCATGTTTCCTTTGATCTTAACTCCTTTTCTTTTTTCTTTCACTCTAATCTCTTCTCTTTTATGATGCCTTCTTAAGGTTTTAATAATGTTTTATGAGAAAATTCTCATCTTTATTACAATAAAATGAGATATTTAAACTCTTAAAAGTAAGATTTAGATCTTAATAACAAAATCAAACATTTCGAGTTATTTTCTCTTAACAATAATGTACAAAACTAAATTTTAAGCTGTAAAATATTTAAGTGCAAATGAAAAAAATTGCAAGAGTGTGTTCCCAAAATAATGAGTTGTTTAAAAATTGATGTAATATTATGTAACCTATTTAAAATGAAATAATGCTTAGTGTGAAATTCTAATAAAACCCTGACATTGTATATGTTCATGGTCATTATAATTTGATATAAAAAAATATCATTCATTTATTTAATCATGTAACTTTATATCTTTTTATGTTAAAGGTTAATTTGTGTAAACTAGAAATATATCTTAACAATTCTAGTAATATTAATCACATGAATAATAATTATTGTCTCTGACGATAAAATAAGAAAAATAGTAAGATTAGATGAAAGAGAAGAAACATAAATTTTTATAATTACAATACAATTAGATTATTGTAATTCATTATTGTATTTTTTTATCACAAAGTTTCAATACCTATTTCAAATCCTAATGAATCATATAATTAAAATAGTTCAGTGTAACCTCTTTTTTTCCTTTATGCAGTTTAACGGACTCATTTTGAGTTCTATCCTTTTCATTTTCACTGGTATCAACATTCTCATTCTCGGCCTGTCTAGCGTAGTCAAATGTAGGAGAATTAGAAACATTGATTGACTCATCAGAAACATCGTCGTTAGCATTTTTTGTGCCCTCGTTTGTTTTGTTCATGCTTTCATGGGCTGTCAATGAAATTTGCTGAAGTAGAATCCACTTGGTCCACTGTAACATCTAACTTATAATCTTTCAATTCCAATGTTGTATATGCAAACTTGATTCCTCTTCCTTGTTGTTAACTGATGTTTCAAATTGTTTTTCAGTTGGTTACGTATCTTGGTTCTCTTATGTTTAAAGTCTTACATGAATTATAAATAAAGTCAATATATAAGTAGATATAAATTTTATTTTATAAATCGATTTTGTGAAATTAAATTAAATTTAGAGTTAACTCTTTAACATAATATTATTTGTGTGTCTGATAATATAAATTTTATTTTATAAATCGATTTTGTAAAATTAAATTAAATTTAGAGTTAATTCTTTGACATAATATCACTAGTGTGTCCCTGATGATAAAGTAAAAAATATGTAAAAAAAGAGTTAACATAATATTATGTTTTTAATTTAAAAAAGCACTTAAAAGGATAAATATTTTTATTCTCACTATTTTAGTCATGGAGCATGATTAAAAATAATCTAAATATTATCATTCAAGTATGAATTACCTTGATGAAATTATGTTGGGTAATAATTTATCGACTTCTAATTCAAATGATTTGCAAATAATAGTAAAAAGAGAGTTTTTATTCTGACAAAAAAAATGAAAAGAGAAAGATATTCGTATTTTGTTAGTAAAGAAATTTGAGATAATGAAATAGTTCATTTGCGTTTTTTTAGTTATTTTATAATAAACATTTTTCTATAAACCATAGTTAAGCAATTCCAGTTAATTTAATTTTAATATTTTTTATATTAATTCCAAATCATCTCCATCACTTGATAATATATATATTTTTTAAGTTTAGTGTTTAGACCTTTCATCTATTTTGGTTTCTACGTTATATATTCACAAAATTTTTGAATAAATTTTTCAAGTCTACAGAAAAATAGCACCCTACTGCTGTTTATCCAAATAATGTTCACTACTTTTTTTAACTATATAGTAATAAGTCAAGTTGAGAAAAGGTGAAACGACACCGTGGTAAGAGAGATAGGTCAGTGCCAAACGCTATCTACGAATCGCAGTTCAAAATGGGGCATCGTGTAATACATTACCTAAGTCGGTTACACTCAACTCACTCTCCACCGTTAGATTATCCACGAAGTTGGATAGGGAAACCCTTTCTTCATGGATTGGGAAAGCCCAAGGATCAAATCAAATAATCAAAATAAAAATTAGGTCTTCTCTTTCTCTCTGCCTCAATTTCCAAGCAGGTGGGAATAATCCATCCCAAAAACCTCACCGATCCAATGACCTCTAAGCTAGTTGCTTCCAATCTCCGTCACCACATCACAAAATCAGCCAAAAACCTCCGCCCGAAGCTTCTCTCCACGGCAGTGGAGGCGGCGGTCCCGGAACACGATGGGAACAACTCGTCCGGAATGACGATGAAGGGCGTTCGAATCTCCGGAAGACCCCTCTATCTGGACGTCCAGGCAACATCCCCGATGGACCCGCGTGTAGTTGACGCGATGCTGCCTTTCTATCTCACTCGTTACGGAAACCCTCACTCTCGCACCCACTTCTACGGCTGGGAATCCGACGACGCCGTGGAACACGCGCGCGCTCAGGTAGCGTCCCTCATAGGTGCGTCCCCCAAGGAGATAATCTTCACCTCCGGTGCGACCGAGTCCAACAACATCTCCGTCAAAGGCGTCATGCATTTCTATAAGGACAAGAAGCGGCACGTGATAACCACGCAGACGGAGCACAAGTGCGTCCTCGATTCCTGCCGCTACCTCCAGCAGGAAGGTTTCGAGGTCACCTATCTTCCGGTTGAATCTGACGGGTTGATTGATTTGGAGAAGCTTAGGGCTGCGATTAGGCCCGACACGGGGCTTGTTTCGGTGATGGCGGTGAACAATGAAATTGGAGTAGTTCAGCCGGTGGAGGAAATTGGGAGAATTTGCAAGGAGTTTAATGTGCCGTTTCATACTGATGCGGCTCAGGCGTTGGGGAAGATTCCCATTGATGTGGAGAAGTGGAATGTGAGTTTGATGTCGTTGAGTGGGCATAAGGTTTATGGTCCTAAGGGAGTTGGGGCTTTGTATCTACGTCGGAGGCCTAGGATTCGGGTTGAGCCTCAGATGAACGGAGGTGGCCAAGAGAGGGGGATTCGGAGTGGTACTGTTCCCACTCCTTTGGTTGTGGGCATGGGTGCGGCGTGCGAGGTGGCTAAAAACGAGATGGATTATGATGAGAAGAGGATTTCTAGTTTGCAACAAAGACTCCTTAATGGGATTAGAGAGAAGCTTGATGGGGTGGTGGTGAATGGGAGCTTGGAGAGGCGCTATGTGGGGAATTTAAATTTGTCTTTTGCGTATGTTGAAGGGGAGAGTTTGCTCATGGGGTTGAAGGAGGTGGCTGTGTCCAGTGGCAGTGCCTGCACTAGTGCTAGCCTAGAGCCTTCGTACGTTTTGAGGGCGTTGGGAGTGGAGGAGGACATGGCTCACACTTCTATTAGGTTTGGAATTGGGAGGTTCACTACCGAAGCTGAAATTGACAGAGCAGTGAAGCTCACTGTTCAGCAGGTGGAGAAATTGAGGGAAATGAGTCCGCTGTATGAAATGGTCAAGGAAGGGATCAACATCAAGGATATTCAATGGGCACAGCACTGATCATTGGCCTTTCCAATTGCATTTCAGTACAGGTGATGGGGAAGGAACAGTGATTGGACTCCAAGCATAACTGTCACTATTGCAATTGCCGGTTTTCAGATATGTCTTATTATTTAGCTATAGATTGTATCTCGAGGTTACATTCTGCAATTAAAAGTTTACCCTGGTAGAGCTACTTATACACCATTATTTTCAATTATTGTTAGTTTAGCCTGCCGCTAGTGCTTATGAAAAGGAAAACATGTATTAGTACTCTGGATAAATTCCGATGTCGGCGTTATTATGGTTTCAGATGATCACATGACCTTCTCCAATGCATCCTAGCTCTCCCACAGCTTAAGGTTTACCTGTCAAGTTTAGCACTAGTTTTGTTCTTGGGTGGTGGATTAGGGGATCAAACGCAGGTACCGTATTTTTGTTTTTGTTTTTGTTTGTTTTCTTTTAGTTTGTACTGTGGGCATTAAACTATTTAGTACTGAGGCACACCCTCTTTCCTTGCCTTGGTAATGTCAATAAAGGTTGGTCCAATGGTTCTCGTATCCTTTCATGTCTTGAAATTTGAATACAAATTTTAAGTGCATTCATTGAAAGAATTAAAGATTTCTCTACTTAAAGAATGCACAAAGTTTTCATTACTATATGGAATCAAATGTTTACAACTTTACCCATTCAACAGAAAATGCTTGAGACTAGAACTTGTGACAAACGAGAGGGTATTGAAATGGGAAGGGATGGAGCGGTGGTGAAAACATAGGAGGGAGTTGGAGGTGTTCAAAGTGTGGGTACCTAACTATAAACCTAAATCAACTCAATCCAAACATTCAAACACCATTGTTTGCAATTTGTGGAATGTTTGTATAAATCCATCAAACCTCTGATGTTTGGATGGAATATAGGGTTAGTGTTGAACCTGCTTAATTAATGCATATTTGAAATTTTAATTTATTATTTATATATATTTAGTGTTTTCTCATGTGCACACAGGTTGATAATTGATGCTGTGACATTTTCTTTTGTTCATTTTTTATTTGGTCCATCTTACTGTTTGTCTTTTTTATTTGTTGGGTAAACAGTGACATATTTGGATTTTATTATAATAAGAAAAAAACTTATATTCCAAGTGTAATACTTTTATTCCAAACTGCTTTAATGATTAAGAAATAAGTTGATTTGCATGCATATTGTGGGGAAATTGTATATTCATTAAAGTTCATATATATATATATATATATATATATATATATATATATATATTCGTGAATGAAATTTGTGTTTTCTTTTCATTCCACAATAATAGGTTTATCTACGTATGTGTATCTATTAATTCAAATATTTATTAAATATATATTTTAAATAAAAAGTAAAAATAAACAAAATATGATATTAGTAATAATTTGATTTAAAAGAAATACATTTTTTATGCTAAATAATAATGACAATTATAATTGTATAAATTTTGAAATAGTATAAATAATAACTAGGAGTCTTTACAATTTAAATTCTGGGCATGTTTGAGAATAAAATAACTAAGAGTCTTTATAATGTAAATTCTGGACATGTATGAGAATAAGAATGGATTGAATATGTAGATATTTATTTGTTTATGCTTAATTTAAAAAAGTTAATATTTATATTTATACCTATGTTAATATTCTTTGTTAAATATTGACATGAGTTTATATAGTATCTACAAATATGTTATTTGCTATTTTTAATTCTAAAAATTGAATAAACCTAGAGAAAGAAAGTCTTATACTGTATAACTATTTGAAAATCAATGGAAAAACAGGATACTTGTACATTTCAACTATTTAAAAGTTTTATTGAAATGTAATTTGAAAAAAATACAAAAAATAGTTTCTCTACTGAAATAGTTTGAAATGTAACTTTTATAACCTCATGAATCATACCCAAATAGTTTCTCTACTGAATTTTTTATTTGAATTTAATAGAAATATTAATTTAAACCCATCCAAGTTATTTTGATTATCTGGAGGGAGTGCAATGAAATGCAAGGAATTGAATGAAGAAAATTAAAGTAAAAAAAATGGTTTATAAAGTAAAAAAAGAAAATAACGTAATGCACTGAATATTATTTAATTATATATATATATATATATATATATATATATATATATAT